TACAGCCACTCTGGAAAAAGGGTTGACAAGCTCTTTGAAAAACTGACCATATGCTTCCCATATGACCCAGCCACTGTACTCCTAGACATTTATTCCAGAGAAATCAAACCTTAGGTCCAGGCAAGAACCTATTCATACAGAGGTTCATGGTATGTGTAACAAAGAGTGGAAACAACCATAAAGTTGCCCTTGAAGAGAAAGGTCAAACAAACTGCCCCCCACCCCATACAATCCAGCCCTAAACAGGAGTAAACTGCTTATCCCTGCAAGAATCTGAATCCATCTCAAGGGCATTATTCGAGGTGCACACAGCCAACCTAAAAGGTCAAGTTTTGTGTGATCCCTTGATCATACAAACTCCTGAAGTGACCTAGTGTAGGTGAGAGGGCAGGTTAGTGGTTGCCTGGAGTTACGGGTGGAGTGGGCGTTTCTATTCAGGGCAGCACATGGGAGATCTCGGTGCTGATGGAATCGTTCTCATCTCGACTGCTGTGGTCATTACAGGAATCTACACGTGTGTGAAACTGCACAGAAATAAACACGTTATACAAACGTATTTCCTGGTTTTGACACGGTGCACAGTGCCACAGTTATATAAAATATAACAATTAAGATAAACTGGGTACATGGAACCCTAATGCACTTTTTATAATTTCCTGTGAATTTATAATTATTTCCAAATACAAAGTAAAAAAACTAAAAGTAGTCACAGATTTTATAAAAATAGAAATACGAACGAAAATGAGATGGTACCACTTCCTCACTCAAAACCCCCCAAGGGCTTCCCATTTCAGCAGAACACATGCGTGCCTTCCGTGGCCTCCAAGGCCCTGTGTTCCCCCCATGCCCGCTCATCTCACGGCAGGCACCCTGACTTCCAGCTGGTTCTGCGACATGGCAAATATCCTCACACTGCTCTCTACCTGGAGTGCTCTCCTCTCAGACTCTGCATGGCTCCATCCTTCATATCCTTTGAGTTTAACCGCCTCCATTCTGACCTCAGTCTGTACTTTTAACAGAATAGCTCTTCTTTCCAGCTTACCTCTTAACTCAGGCAAAAAAAGCCCAGGAGGCGGAGCATCTCCGGGTAGGAACTGAAACTAACCCCTTAAGCGATAGGGACTGCCCGGAGCCGGCAAGACCCCACTCAGGACTGACCCCGAGACAATGACCGACCTTCACTGCCCACCAGCACGGACCCCCCACGACCTTTGTCCCACACCTGTCTTATGCAAACCTGGAGGTATTTGCAGCACTTTGGAGACTGTCTTTAAGATGCCAGCCCCGTCTTCCCAGTGTTGGCCTCTGAAATAGACTCCTTTCCTGTTTGACCACCACCTGCCCCTCTGCCTTTGGTTGTGTGTGGTGAGCGGCCGAACCTGGTCTGTCTGGGACCCCCCGAGCCAGGTGATCTCGCCCCCCTGCTTCCCGGCTACATGTGCTCACAGACTACTCCTGAAGAACCCTTCCAGGACCCATCATATCTCAATTAGCATTCCTCTCCAACTACCCATCATTTTCTACCCTCTGACCCTGGTTGTCTATCATTTACTCCAGATGCCCTGACCCCAAATCAGGATACATACAATTCTTTTGAATTGTTAGCCTCTTAATTCCCAAAGCTTAGTAGGGCCAGGCGTGTAGTAAAAACCCAGTAAGTATTTGATGACAGAGTGAATCTGCTGAGAAATTAAAGAACATGACACTGATGTGACGGATCTTCAACACCAGATGGAGGGGGGAAGCTACAACATGCTCGATGAAACAGAGAATGTGAGGACAGAAACGTATGTTCGAAGAGTTCAAGTCACCCAGTTTTTCACATTTCCCCCGTCCCCTGCTCTTAGAGCCGAGCCTCCCTGTCTCTGCCCCCAGCGGTGCCTTCAGGATGCATGGAGGCTTCCACCTTGGTCTCTTGGAACCCACTGATCACGTGAGAATGAGGACGCAGAACCCCCAGGGGAAGCCACACGGAGGCCCAGAAAGAGGACAATGAGTGGAGGAGGGGGACAGAGATGCCACAGTGTGGCCAGGGAAGGGAGTCCTCGGGCCCAGCCACGCCAGCTGAGGACGTGTGGATCACAGGGGTACCTCTAGACAAGCCCTTCCTGAGTCCCTGACCCATAAAATTGTGGGCATAGCAAAATTGGTGATTTTAAGCCACTAAGTACTGCAGTAATTTGTAATGTGGCAAAAGTCATCAGGCAAGAAGAGATTTCTGAAAGCTGGGGAAAAAAGCCAGTCATAAACAATCAAACAGTGTCACAGGACAGCACACAAGGGAACAGAACTGCCCCATGCAGGCATATGGGTGAAAGATCTAGAACACCTACTTCTGGATTTCTGTAGGTGGGAAGGCAGTGGGATCTGCCCTTGGGACAGAGGGATGGGGGAGGGGCAGAGCGAGGAAGACAATGTGAGGGACACGGGAGGGGACAAAACACAGCACCGCCTTCCTGTCGTTCTTTTTTTTTAAGATTTTAATTTATTTATTGAGAGAGAGAGAGAATGGTAGAGAGAGAGCATGAGAGGGAAGAAGGTCAGAGGGAGAAGCAGACTCCCCGCTGAGCAGGGAGCCCGATGCGGGACTCGATCCTGGGACTCCAGGATCGTGACCTGAGCCGAAGGCAGTCGCTTAACCAACTGAGCCACCCAGGCGCCCAGCACCGCCTTCCTGTCATTCTTAACCACTGGCTCAACTCAGCACAGACGACTCAGTCTCAGTCCTCGAGTCTACTCAGTCCTTGGTTTTACAACAAAGAATCCAGAGAACTGTAAAGAATTCAGAGGTGCTAGAGATCAGAAACATGACCCAGAGGAAAGGAAATGCTCCTGTGCCGTTTGGAAGGAGAGGATTAGAGTAAAACCTAGGGACATTGAAGGACCTGCTATTTATTCACTAGGTACAGAGATTAAGCTGAAGTGTTTACAGTAACCAAACACGAAAACAGTGAGAGCGGAAGACCCAGAATGGCTTATTACAGACCGGAGTGTCTTCTGGAAATCTGTATCTACTTAGAAAAGGTAGGGTGTGATTCTGTGCAAATCTGAGATGTCCCAGGCTTCTTCCAGGACGGCTGTGAGTGCGCGGCCTCATGACTGCTCCCACACGGTCACCCAAAGAGCTCCTGGCAATGATTAAAGTCACCGAGCAACTACTTGCCACACCCCCTGGGAGACTCGGCTGCCAGCATCACGTGACCTGTACGACACTCCTGCCAAGTGGGTATCACTCTCCTCATCTCCCAGAAGAGACGGTGGTGAGCAGGATGAAGGAAGGTGTGCCGAGGCTGCTGTGTGATGAATACACTTGCTCTTCCTTCCAGTCAGAAAGCTTCAACAACCCCCGGAATTTCCTGAGGGAATGGAGTCTTTGTTACGCTGATGAGAGGACTCAAGGTTGGTCCCAAGATAACTCCAGGATGGGCCAGGTAGCAGAAAGATCAAACCTGCGATTAAAGGGGCTGGAATTTGGAGCCAGACCCCCCGTGGAGAAGGGGCGGCAATGGAGATGGACTTTAGTCAACCACAACTATATAATAAAACCCCCACAGAAACTCTCTCTGGAAGCAAAGCTCGGGAGAGCTTCATGGTTGATGAGCACACTGGGGCCAGGAGGGGGGTGTGCCCCAGCTCCAAGGGGACAGGGCACCGAGGGCCTGCACTGCCCCTGGCCTGGCCCAACGTGCATCCTTTACAACAACTTGCAACTTTAAGTACAGTGACCCTCCAACAACCTAGGGTTAGGGGTGCCGACCGTCCCCTGCCTCAGAAGTCTGCGTGTAACCTTCGATTCCCCAAAAACCTTCCAGCAGTAGCTACTGCTGACTGGAAGCCATGCCGATAACGTCAAGTCAATTAACACATATTTTGAGTGCTCTCTATGTTGTGCTCTATTCTTATAATAAAGTAGAGAGAATATTAACGAAATCATTAGGAAGAGAAAATGCGTTTATAGGACTACACTGTGTTCAGCGAGAAAACTGTGTACAAGTAGACCGACGTCACTGAAATCTGTGCTGCTTAAAGGCCAAGTGTATGGCGCTTTCCTACACAGGAAATCCATCCATCCACTGTTGAGCTGCAAGCTGGCTGGTCAGACGTGCGGGGGTCCCGGAGACACCACTCGCATGGACATCGGGGGTGGGGAGGACCCCGGACTCACAGGATCTGACGCCAGCTCCGTGTGGTCAGTGTAGGAGCTGAACCACAGTTGACTCCTCGGCAGTCAGACCGGCTGGGGATGGAACAGAACGGCAAGAGACGAAGCGCCACAGTCAGGCCTCAAACCTGGCGCCGTCGGACTCCAAAGACAGTACTTTACTATCATCAAAGTCTAAACCGTAACATCTGTCAATTTTTCATCTGAAAATGAAGTGGCACATAATTCAGGAAGGTTTCACCTTCCAAAGTAACTTTTGAGACCTGAAAGAACAATTTCATCAGCTGGACTGCCGGCCCATGCAGGTAACACCCGGGTCGATGCAAGGGCAGCTGCGACAGCCAGAGGCTCCCATGGACGGCAGAGGGTTAAACAACAGGAAGAGAATGAGGGACCCACAGGGAGAGCACCCGAAGCACGTGTGAAGTGTGGAGCCCCTTCTACACCCCTCGCGGCTCTGAGGCTTACACACAACTTGAAGTACTAGTTCAATGCAGGTATAAGGACATGATGCCGATATAAATCCTTGACCTTCAGATAGAGTGAGAAGCGTCTGGATCTTGTTTCCTATGAGCTTGAGAGAAACCATAGGACATAAATTCTGATAATACTTGTATGGTCACGAGTGTACATTCTGAGCTTTCTGCCAACTGGACTACCTTCGGAGCGCCAACACAGAAAAAAAAATCTCACGAAATCTGGGCGGTAATACTGTTTTTTACTCTAGCTTACACAGGAGCTTCCTAAGGTTTTATTTCAACTTATGAGCCCAAAAGCGGTTTCCTAAATGTCATCTTCCATTACTAGGATGTATGTAAATCCCATGACTTCTCCTCACCTGGCCGGTTGGTGGCTGCCATAATGAACACCGCCTGCCGCGCTTCGAGACCGTCCATCTCCGTAAGTAGCTGATTCACCACCCGGACACTTGCCCCCGTCTAAAAATCAATAAAGACAGCTCCATCAGTTCCCAACAAAAGAAAAACCACACCACGTTTTTCCATACAAAATAACAATTTGCTAACTGGAATGAAAACTCCGGTCAAGATGTAACGGTGATCATTTTCTGAGAGGCGCTGTGCAAAACACATTCTCATCAGGAACTCCCCTGAGTCCTGGTGTCCCCTCTTCCAGAAGGAGGAAGCTAAGGCTCAGAGAGACCACCTGTCCAGGCCTCTCAGCTAGACACACACAGGCCTGGCTGACCTGAGTCTCCTGCCTCCGAGTTATTCAAAGATCTGCTGGCCGCAGTGGATTTCCATGGGTCAAGTGTAGACTCAGTGTGGAGAGATCCCCCAGGATGTGAGATGCTCCTGATCTTTGGGCTGGGGCACGGAGGCTTTTCCTCTTTTCCTGGAAGCCCACAGTACAAAGCAGAGCTACCCTGGGGCAACATCCAAGAGAAAGGACCGGGGAGGTGGTGGACAGACAGGTAACTCACTCGGACACAGAACTGTTCTAAATGCACAATGGAGGAGACAAGAGAAGTGGGGAGTCTGTGTCTGTGTGTCTCTACGTGTCTGTCTGTGTCTGCGTGTGTGTCTCTGTATGTGCGTCTGTGGGTCTCTGTGCATCTGTCATGACCACCCTTCTTCAACAGAAAGTCTATGGGCAGAGGTGGTCATGAGTTTACCTGAGGATTTCCCCAGAAAGTAGCTGGCACACGTCACCACTCCGGGGAGACGTGACACCAACAAATCAGAGGATGAAGATAATTATAATCCACACTCAAAACAATACAGCAACATGGGGCAACAACCAAACCCTGTCCTACCTCAACAAGACGAAACCCTCAGAATCAGTGTAGGAACAGGATGACCGGTTTTACTATATTAAAATTATAACCTGGGTGGCTCAGTTGCTTGGGCGACTGCCTTCGGCTCGGGTCATGATCCGAGAGTCCCGGGATCGAGTCCCACATCGGGCTCCCTGCTCAGTGGGGAGTCTGCTTCTCCCTCTGACCCTCTTCCCTCTCGTGCTATCTCTCATTCTCTCTCTCTCAAATAAATAAAATCTTAAAAAAAAAACAACACTGTATGTAGTAAACAAATTAAAGGTAAGTGAAAAGACAGAGAAAAACAGCACCAACACACATAACTGGACAATGGACTCTTTCTGGAACACGTAAAAGCTCCTAGAAATCACAACAAAATTTTAAGAGAAAAAGGGTCAATGTATCTGATCAGGCAAATTATAGAAGATGAAATACACGTTCACTGAAGACAATCAACCTTACTGATAATCGGGGACACAAATACTAAGATTTAATACCATGTTTTGCCAATAAAATTGACAACAATTTTAAGATGGGTGTTACCCATTGCTGACAAAGGTACAGGAGATGGTTATTTTCACGCACTGTTGGCGGGCATGTGTAACTGGTAGTTTTTGTGAAGGATGACTCAGTGTTAGCTTTCAGGACATAACGCAAGGGGCGCCTGGGTGGCTCAGTTGGTTAAGCGTCTGCCTCTGGCTCAGGTCATGATCCCAGGGTCCTGGGATGGAGCCCCACATCGGGCTCCCTGCTCAGTGGGGAGTCTCCTTCTCCCTATACCTGCTGCTCCCCCTGCTTGTGCTCCCCTGCTGTCAGATAAATAAATAAAATCTTAAAAAAAAAAACAATGCATACACATCTACGCTGATATTCCACTTCTAAAACTCTCCCACATGCACAGAAATATGTGATAAGAATGTCATTTCAGTTCTGTTTGTAAGAGAAACAACTGGAAACAGTGTGATTCAAGAAATACTTCTATTTCCAGACTGTGGAATATTTATGCAATCGTTAAAAATTAAGTTATTAGGGACGCCTGCGTGGCTCAGTCGGTTAAGCGTCTGCCTTGAGCTCAGGTCATGATCCCTGGGTCCTGGGACCGAGTGCCGCATCAGGCTCCCTGCTCCGTGGAAAGCCTGCTTCTCCCTCTCCCACTCCCCCTGCTTGTGTTGTCTCTCTCTGACAAATAAATAAAATCTTTAAAAAAAAAAGTTATTAAGTACATGGGAAAATCATCAAGATGAATGACCGCATTTATATAAAAAAACAGATGTAAGTCATACATGTTTTTAAGTTTACAGACAGTTTTAGAATGACAAATACCACACACAAAAGTGGTGGCAACAGTAACCTCCAAGGAGAGTAACAGGGAGAAAATTGGGAAGAAAGACTCTCCATCTCTTAACACTTGTATTTGAATTTTGTTCTAAGTACGTGTTCATGTATAACCTGTATAAGAAAAGAATACATTCAAATTTAACATATTTTCAGAATTCCCCTCACGTGAAAATGTCAAAAAAGCAGAACACATGTACTGGAATACGGAAACTGTGTTTGTACACATCCAAGAGAGGGCAAGAGAAGCCAGACGTCAGGAGCGCGGCTCCTGGGCCGCAGACTCTCCGAGGCAGGCGGCGGACTGCACGCACTCGGTGCACCCCTGCAAATTAACCTCCCAGCCGATGACAGGTGGCTGGCTGCAAACCAAGGACGGGGCTGCTGACAAATGAAGGGCTTATGCGGAGCCACAGAGGAGATAAAAAGGAGTCAGACCCAGAGCGTACCACGCCCCAACCAGCAGGCTATAAAGGGCAGTGCTTGGCTCTGAATCCTACAAGGGATTTAGAACATCACAGCAACCAGGACAACCGGGGAAGGGCCTCTGCCCCGGCCACAGATGTCACCATGAGAGACAAGACTGGGGAGGGATTTTCTGGGACGCTAGTGAGCACTCCTGGATGAGGAAACAATCTTGCTGTGACATGGGTCATGCGGACATGAGTTTTGTTCTTGCGACTCTGGAAGGCTTCTGGAGATTGTGAGCAAAATGAGGCATTTAGTAACTGTTTTACAACCTTCCAGGCACGCACAGAACAACTATGTGAAGAAAAATCACAAAAGAAATAAAATCACCTGCTTAGTCATCTCGCCATGAATGTCCTTATCAGAGAGTCTCTGCTACCTGTTTCAGAAAGGCCGTCTGTTGCTTACGGGAGGCTTTGTTCGGCTGTGGACTCGGAGACAAGCGTCCCCGTGATAACAGCACTCTAGAAGCTCACCGCAACGAAATTCCTACCAACTGTGACTCAGCCCAGTGACACAGGGGTGTCCGGTGCAGACAAGGAGCACGGCTGAGTCTTAAAGCCCAGCCCTATTTCAAGGGGATGTTAAATTACATTTTCTCCTGTCTCCAGAAACCATGTGTCAGAAGAGAGTCACGATCACAAGGCAGGCTCTTCGAAGCCACGTCATTCCCGTTCCCAACCGCTCGCCTGCGTGAACCAGACCAGTGCAACCAAAATCATGTAGGCAGAAATGGAAGCAGAGGCCAAGAAAAACCAACTGTCACCCCCAGGCCCTCATTTCGAATTACAAGGTTTCTTCACTGCAAGAATTGCAGTGTTCTTGGGGAACAACTTTGTCAGAACTCACAAAAGGTTTATTAGGGCACTTACACCTACCTCCCGGTCTGACCTCCGAGGGCACAGGGCGTCCACTTCATCAAAGAAGATGACGCAGGGCGCGGAGCTCCTGGCTCGCTGGAACACCTGGCGGACTGCGCGCTCGCTCTCACCGACATACTGACACAACAGAAACACAGACTGGTCAGCCCTTGGGTTGCGGCCAAATCTCGGTAAAACTAGTTCTAAACGACAGGTAGGTATCAGAGTCCAAGAAGTATTTGGTTGAACCACATGCAGCTGCTGACAGGCACCCATTTTTGATGCACAACAACAGCCAACGTGTGGCTCAATGTAATAAAATCAGCTATTACTGATGCTTATACATTTCCTTGTTTGCAAAGTGAATGTAAGGTCTCCTCCAGGTCAAAAATAATCCCATAATCCTATTGTGTTTTAGAACCGATCTCCTAAGCTAGATCACATAAGACACCCAGCTGTAACTCTCGTGACTTCAGCCGTGTTGTAACGGCTGTTTGCCGCTCTGCCATGTTTTCCACACGGTCATGCTGCCATCATACACCATCAGAGGAGGCAGGCGAGCCAGCGAGGCCTCCACAGGCTTTGTATGACATACTGTACGTTGGTCTAAATCAAGGGCTGGCTGGCTCTATCAGAGGAGCGTGCGACTCTCGAGTTCGGGGCCATGAGTTCAATCCCCGTGTTGGGTGTAGAGATGACTTAAATAAATAAAAACTTAAAAAAAAACAAAAAACAAAATCAAAATATAGAACAGTAAGATCGGTCAAGAAATACAGCAATTCACAGGCAGCTATAACATTAGAAAGTCACATGTGAGAATATGTTCTCACTGTTGGCGAAGTGTAAAAAATTGTTCTTGTAAAATTTCGAACTGGTTAACTAAGAAAAGCAGGTTTTTCATAATACAACAGCTGAATCAGACAGAATCTGAAAACTACAAGTATCCGCTGTGCTGTTTTATGGTAAAGTCACACAGGCATGAGGCACATCACGGACGATAGTGACGAAAGTGTAAGTTTCCCATGAGCAGAACTGCCTTCCCTCACGGCCGCCCTGTCCTTTCTTGGTACTTCTGCTCATTGTGCTTCTCACGTCTGTGCTGTTTCCCAGCCCGTCCCCAGGTCTCCCGATTGTCTGCCGACTCCTCTCCGTCATGGCGTCTACTACTGTAACCTGCAGCTTGTGCACCTTCGCCGTGTTGTAGCGGGAAGTCCTCAGGAGGACACAGCACTTGCATGTTCATCTCCATCGTCACACCGTGCACTCTGCACAAATACAGTAGACTGGTTCGGGTTCCTAAAGAATCTAAGTCAGAACAAGTTCCGTCTGGAACGCCGAACTGACATCATCAGACATTTACAAGAAAAGCTAGCCGTGAGTTGTCAGAGGTAAAGTCTCCCACGGGGACAGACGGGGACAGTGAACATGACACAAGGACTGTGGACTTGGCAAACCACAACGACCAAGAAAAGAAAAACTTAATTTAGGGGAACGTAAACCTCAAGTTTCAAAAGGACACATTAAAAGGTCAGTTAATCTTAACAAAGGCAACACTGATTAAAAATAAAAGAAAACCCCACTATGTTGGCCTTTAAGAAATATTTCAAGTAAGGAGACTATACCTATCATTTCTAATTCTGTATTTAAGTTTTATTAATTCATTTGAGACACAGAGATACAGAGAGAGAGAGAGCAGGAGCAGGAGCAACAGAGGGAGAGGGAGAAGCAGACCCCCCGCCGAGCAGGGAGCCCGCTGCAGGACTTGATTCCAGGACCCTGAGATCATGACCTGAGCCAAAGGCGGACGCCTAACCAACTGAGCCACCCAGGCGCCCCTGCCGTTCAGTTTTGAACCTTGATAATCTAGCTTTTGCAAACACAATTAGTGAAAATACTCTCCCTAAAGTCACTAACGACCTTCTAGTTGCCAAACCCAAGGTCCTACTTTCAGTTCCTGGTACTCGGTCTGGTTACACTGACAAGGTTGAAGAAGTTAGCCGCCCCCCCGGCCCCAAGGTTTTCAGGCTTAGAAAGTCCTGAGCGTCCTCCCCCTTCAGGAGACCAGCCTGCTTTGCCAACTTTTCCTTCCTTGCCCCAGAGCCATCAGGGGCCCCGCTCAACGCACCCCCTAGTAGACACGGCCCGTTCCCAGGGTTTCAGGCGCCACCCCAAATCTCAACGCTCCAGACTTACATCCACGCATCTGCTGGACATCTCCAGACCCCCTGAGTCTGAAATTCCCCAGAGCAAATGCATTTTCTAACCCTGAGAGGTCAATCTTCCTCAACAGACCACCTCATCTCTGCCCCAGTCATGCTAGACTCTGCCGCAGACCTCTTCCCACACCTCTCCCTAGAGAACAGGTGAGACCACCATGAGATGACCATCGCACTTCTCAGATCTGACACCACGGCGCTGGTGAGGCCATGGGGACCCCCAATCACAGCTGGGGGACATGTAACTCAGCAACAACCACCTTGGGAAAAAAGCTGGCAAAACTATTTTTGAAAGTGCACACGCTCTAGAAGAGACAGCAATTGTCCTCATGTACACACCCGTGGGAAACAGCTCCCAAATATATGTATACATGCATATATAATGTTCAACCTAAACATCCATCAAGAAAGCAGCTCATTTTTTTAAAGTGTGGTGATATCCATTTAGTGGAATACCACACAGAAGACTAATGACCTCGAGGGAAACATACCAACCAAAATAAAATCTTCGATAGAATGATTCAGAAGAAATATCTATTAGGTCACTCAGATATATCTGGTCTTCACCCACGGTTTCTGAGAACCCTCAGGGCCACAAAAGTAAAAGGTCTTGCTAATCAAGGTGAATCTGGACCCCACCCAAGGGCAGGGCTGGCTGCCAGGAGGATGTGTGGTCAGAGGAATGGAATTTTCAGTCCTCACCCCCGACCTCCTGGTACGGGACGGTGCTGGAGACTGAATCAGCCAATGGTCAGTGACTCAGCCGATTATGGCCATGTAATCACACATCCACAAAAACCCAAGACGACAGTTTTTCAGTCCTTCATACCAGGTAAGCGGTTTGCCGCCCCGTACCCCAGAGCCAGGCCCCGAGCTCCGAGAGACTCCTGCTTGGGACTTTGCCCCATTCATCTCTTCATTGGAGGTAGATTCTTATCCTTTATCATATCCTTTATCATCTTAACCTTTATCAACACACTTGAGTTCTGGAGCTACTCTAGCAAATTAGCAAAAGGAGGAGGAGGCTGCTGGAACTTCCAATCTGGTGACAGCCTGGGGCCTGGGCCTGGTGTCTGCAGGGGAGGATGGGGAACCCTGCTGTAGGACTGAGCCCCTAGCCTGTGCAGGCCGATGCTGTGTCCTGGCCGACTGTGCCAGAACGGAGTTGACCTGAGTCGAGTTCTTAGACCCCCCTGCCAGTGTCTGAGATTGCTCGATGTTTTGGGGGGGGTGATCCCTTGCCCCCCGGAACTGGGTCCGGGAACTCTAAAAGAATTATAATGTTCAACAAAAATAACAATAAAATCAAGTTACAAAAGAACACGTACCACTTACATAAAGTGGGTTATTTTTGTTTTTGCTTTACTGTTTATGAAAGCGTTCCAAACACGTAACAAAAGCAGGCATAAGAGTATACTGAACCCCAAACACGCCCATCACCCAGCTCAATCATCATCTGCTCAATTCCTGACCTTCACCTAACAGATGCTCCGCTTTTCGTTCTTGTCATTTTGAAGGAGAGCCCAGACATCGTATTTTATTTGTAAATATTTCCCTATCTCTAACGAAAAACAATGGTTTCTGACAATGACATCATCACACTTAAAACTGGTTTTCCTTTTGTTTTTTCAGTTTTAATTCCAGTGCCAGGAACATACAGTGTAGTATTAGTTTCAGGAATGCACATGCTGATGCGCACCTCCCTGCCTTACTCAGTGCTCATTAGTACGAGTGCACTCTGCATCCCCGCACCGAGTTGCCCTTCCCTTAGAAGTTATTTATTTTTTGATTTTTTTTTTTTTTATTTGAGAGAGAGAGAGAGAATGAGAGAGAGCACGAGAGGGAAGAGGGTCAGAGGGAGAAGCAGACTCCCTGCTGAGCAGGGAGCCCGATGTGGGACTCGATCCTAGGACTCCAGGATCATGACCTGAGCCGAAGGCAGTCGCCTAACCAACTGAGCCACCCAGGCGCCCCTAGAAGTTATTTTCTTAACATCAAATATCCAGTGTTCAAATTTCCAATTGTCCCTTAAACAATGATGAAATGTGTACGATAATACTGCGTGTTGCTGAGGGATAAATACATATAGAGTAAATGTAGAAAGTACACGGAATTAATGAACACCAAATTCAGGATTATGGTAAATTCTCCGGGAGAGAGAACTGCGTCATGGTTAGGGAAGGTCTGCAGGGGCGTCGAGTATCTTGGTTTTGTGTATTTTTTAAAGCTGGGTGACAGATACAGAGGGTTCATTCCATTACTCTTCATAACTTCTTCTGTGCTTGGGATATTTCATAGTAAAGTTAACAAAATGTTACACGCTTGCTTTACAGCCTCTGTTGGGTCTCCGCGATTCTAGAGAGGACAGCCCAGCTCTAGCGCAGAGGATGGCCCTTCACTGTCCCGCAGGACCTTCTTTTCCAGCCTCATCCCTGATCAATCCTCTCCTGCCAAGGTTCATTTCTAACACCTCCACTGCGGAAATGAAGGACAAGAGAAGTACACACACAGAAATCCCACAGGAGGGGTGCCTGGGGGGCTCAGTCGTTAAGCGTCTGCCTTTAGCTCAGGTCATGATCCCAGCGTCCTGGGATCGAGTCCCTACTTGTGTGTTCTCTCTCTGTCAAATAAATAAAAAAAAAGAAAGAAAGCAAGCAAGCAAGCCCATAGGAAACGCCTAAATACGAATCCTTACTTTAGGAGGAAAGTATCACACAGAATAGGAAACACATAAGAACTGGTAGGAGGGATAAATTTTAAAAGCCTTTTAAATTTTAAGATTTTTAAGTAATCTCTACACCCAACGTGAAACTCGAACTCATAACCCTGAGATCAAGAGTCGCACACTCCACTGACTGAGCCAGCCAGGCGCCCCTGAAAGACCTTTTCAAACAAACGATAAGGGGCGCCTGGGTGGCTCAGTTGTTAAGTGTCTGCCTTCGGCTCAGGTCATGATCCCAGGGTCCTGGGATTGAGCCCCGCATTGGGCTCCCTGCTCCACGGGAAGCCTGCTTCTCCCCTCTCCCACTCCCCCTGCTTATGTTCCCTCTCTCGCTGTGTCTCTCTCTGTCAAATAAATAAAACCTTAAAAAAAAAATAATACTTTCACTTCTTCGTTTGAATACATGACAGAATGGCATTTTTACTTCTCACAGGGATGAAGAGATAATAAGATATTCAAAATCTCTTAAATCTGAGACACTGTATAAACTCCTAATTACAGAAAGAAGTTACTACATAGGATGGTAGTATTTCTTTTTTTTTTTTTTTAAGATTTTATTTATTTATTTGAGAGAGAGAGAATGAGAGATAGAGAGCACGAGAGGGAAGAGGGTCAGAGGGAGAAGCAGACTCCCTGCTGAGCAGGGAGCCCGATATGGGACTCGATCCCGGGACTCCAGGATCATGACCTGAGCTGAAGGCAGTCGCTTAACCAACTGAGCCACCCAGGCGCCCAGGATGGTAGTATTTCCCCCCCAAAATACTTTTAATTAAAACTTAAGTCATTTGGGAGGCGCCTCGGTGGCTCAGTCGGTTGAGCGTCCGACTCCTGATCTTGGCTCAGGTCATGAATTCAGGGTCATGAGTTCAAGCCCTGTTTTGGGCTCCGTGCTGGGTGTGGAGCCTGCTTTAAAGAAAAAAACAACCCGAGTTGTTTGTGCCACAGGACACGAGGGCAAGGCAAGCAGAGGAGTCACGTAACCGAGATTCAAACCTCAGCTCTCCTCCCCCAGCCCTCGGACTTTGGCCAAGGTGCGTGCTGCCTGCAGACTTCAGTTTCCTTGTTTGGAAATCAGGAGTCAGAGGAAACAATAATTCGTGTCTCACAGGGTTGCTGAAGAAGAATGCAGGTGACCCTTGAACAATGCATGGGGTTAGAGGCGCCGACCCCCCTCCCCACCGCCATCGAAAATCTACATGTAACATTTGACTCCCCCAAAACCTAACCATTAACAGCCTGCTGTTGACCTTCAGAAGCCTTACCAACAACATAAACAGTCGACTGACACCTACTTTGTATGTTCTATGTATCACACACTGAATTCTTACAAGAAAGTTAGCAGCAGGAGAGAAGAAAATATGATTAAGGAAATCGTAAGGAAAATACTCTGCTAGGACCATATTTACTGAAAAGTCTCCGCACATAAGTGAGCCTGTGCAGCTCAAACCCAGGCCGCTCAAGGGCCAACCATGTGTGTACAGCATGTGATGAACGCTCAGCACAGAGCACACACTTTAAATGTTACTTCCATTTCGCAGGTGGGAAGACGGGAGGCTCAGAGCTGAGGAGACTCACTAAGGAGAGCAGTTACACACACTTGATTCCGCCTGCAGCGGAGATTTTACCAAAATGCTGCGTCCGTCCGTTTCCAGGGCTGAGGATGCTCCACCCCATAAGTGGAGGGGCCGCGAGTCTCCTAAGTTATACTCATGGCTGAGGCCACAGCAACTTACCATGTTGAGCAATTCGGGGCCCTTGACAGATATAAAGTTCAGTCCGGATTCATTTGCAACAGCCTAGGGAAAGGAAACCAAAGGACACAAGTGAGACAAATATAGACTAAAGTAACAGTAAATCGTGACAGCGCAGGGGCTTTTGCAGTTTATGCTGTTCTCCTTCTCTTACAGCTGTGTTTTCCTTATTAGATGCAGCTCACATATGGGAAAAGGAGAAATGACTTAAACAACAAAAAAAAAAATTAATGGAAGGTTCACCTAAAACCTTCTAAGAACCACTCAGACTAGAAATCAGATGGAGATGACACAAACATTTATGTCAGCGTTTTGTTTCTGTAAACTCGCTCAGATACATACATTTGCACATTCGTAGCTCCAGCTTGGAATCCCAGTGGAACCATAATCTCTGCATCCAACACGCCTTGCCCAGTGAAAGCAATCATTTGCTCATGACCTCAAATTCAAAAACATCAGTATCAATCAGCCTTGGTCAACGGTCAGTGTTTCCAGATTATTTTAATAACGATTAAACCGCATGGCTCAAAGCCAAAGAGAAGCATGAAGGAGACACATGCAGTTATAAGTGTGGAAGAATCTGACAGAGATCACCTGAAGGTCACCTGGATGCAGAGATGAAACCTGAGCAAAATCACCCAGAGCTTCACAAGGACCAGGGAAGGGAGTTCCTTCCTCTCCTCTCCTCGGAGCCTGACCTCAGAGCTCCAGATCTACACCCAACACACTACTCGGCATCTCCCTCCTGATCGGACACGCATCTCAAATCCGTCATTACCAGAGCGGGACACCTGGATCTGTCCCAACTCCCTCCACACCCCACACTTCCAACTCCAACAGCTTTTAGCCCCAAACCGCAGGGTCCCCCTTATGACATCATCCAATCTGCCCAAAAGTTCTGTTAGCTCTGATGTCAAAATGTAGGAGTCCACCACTCTCTGCTTCTCCACCACACACCCCCTCACGCAGACCGCCTCATCATCTGCCTGGCTATGCAAAGAAACCAAACCAAACCGAAAAGACCCTGACTGGTTTCTTCTCCCTCCTGCTTGCCTCTGACCCATTCTCACACTGCACCTCGCACACTTCTAAAAACGTCAATCGTTATCATTTCCTGAGGATTTGCATTCATCTTTTGAGTACAATGTGAAATATTTACCACAGCTCACAAGCCTGTAGTTTGGGACAGGACAGCTTCTTCGTAGTCCAGACATTGGCTTTCTCTGGATCTCAAACTCAACCAAGCCCTTCCCCACGTCAGGGATTTGGCCACTGCCGTTCCCTCTGCCTGGAAGAGCCTTCCCCTTCTGTCCCTGGTGCCTCATGTGGCCAGCCGGTCCCTCAGGACACGGCCAACGGTCAGCATCCCCGAACATCACTACCTCTAACAGCCACCTCCCACCCAATCTATCACCACAATCTGCTTATTTCCAGCCTCACGTAGCTGAGCCTCCAATGTTACTGCATGACTCGTTTCCTGCCTGTCTCTCCAGCCAGACAGTAAATGCCACCAGAGGAGGTGCCTGGTTCGCCTCCAACAGCTGCTGGCACAGGGTAAGGAAGTCACAGGAACGCACGCGTGCTCTGCCACGGAGGGAGTGCTCGGCGGCCCCCGTCCTAGCTTTCACTCAGCACAACACGGAAAGGGGAGGCAGGGAGCACATCTAATGAAGGCTGACGCATTCACATCAGGTTTTCAGCTTCCACCCTCCAGATTCCCAAGATTTAACCCACTAACACCCCCAAGAGCTCCTGAAGTTGTTGGAAATCCTGTCTCCTCGGTGAAGCGCAGTGAGCACAATTCACTTTTTTCTTCGTGGACATCGGCCTGTGCCTCCTGCACATGGTCAGGAGCTGTCTGCTTCAGGCCAGAGCCCCAGGCACTCACTGACCTTACTCCTCTCTCTGCAGTGTCCTCGTCAGTCATCAATGTGCAGGGTGCCAGCTCTGGCTACCACATGCCTTGACCCCATGCTACTCGCATGCTTCCCATGTGCCAGGGTTCAGGAAAACGTCATCTTACTGTGATCGTGAGTGAACAAAACCACCAAGATTAGCCCAAATCGTCATTTTATGGCCCAGTCTAGGGTGCCAGGCTCTGACCCGCAGGTGGTTCCACGATCGTCCTCCAGTAACATTTGCTTCTGCCATTCAAGGACATTTTCTACCATTTCGAGATTTTCGGGCATGTACCTCCTGGAGCATCTGAAAAAGTGGTGAACCCTCTCCCAGGAAAAAGTACATAGCCACACAAATACCGCCTGGCTCCTGGGCTCAGTGAGCCTGAAGGCCACCCACGGCATCCTCGGTAAGATTCCCCACTCCACACGGGCAGGTGCCAGAACGCGGGCGCACACACAGGCATCAAGCTGTTGGCAGTCGGGGGAGGCAGGAGCAGGGAGAAGAGGAAAACCTGGTCTATGGATTTCAAATAACCCAAGCTGTCTCCCTTCTGCTGTGGAAACGCTACTCAGAGGCAGATGTAACTAATTAAAAACAAACCAATGTGACAAGGCACCCAGGCCGGGGCCCTGCATCCGCCTGCTGAATTTACACGTTCAGAGGCATGACCTTCCTTCTGGCTCTATCCTTCTAGAACTGCTGCCCTGTCCATGGCACCCTGTGCCCTGCTCCGCGGCTCCCACGCTCCCGCACAGCCAGGCCCTGGAAGAGCACCAGAAGCACGGAGCAAGGAAATGTAGTCATGTCAGTAAGTTTGGAAAACTTCACGTGTGTTGACACGTGGATATTTGATATTTACTGTGGCTAGCGGATATTTACTGAGCAGTCACAAATTCTGTGGACACTGTGGCACTTACTAAAAGTGCTATTAATTTTCATTTCCTATTTACAAGTAATTCAAATACTTTAAAAAGCTGATGAGGGCTAAGTAAATTACAGATGAAACATTATCCAGACATTAAAAATGAAGCCCACATAACTTACAGATAAGGAAGAGCAGTCTAACATGTATGACTCCAAAGGAAAAAAACAGACTGAGAAATTTGCCCACATAAATACGAAAAAAAAAGGGGTGCCTGGGTGGCTCAGTTGGTTAAGCGACTGCCTTCGGCTCAGGTCATGATCCTGGAGTCCCGGGATCGAGTCCTGCATCAGGCCCCCTGCTCAGCGGGGAGTCTGCTTCTCCCTCTGACCCTCTTCCCTCTCATGCTCTCTGTCTCTCATTCTCTCTCTCAAATAAATGAATAAAATCTTTCAAAAAAAAATGAAAAAAAACCAAAACACAAAAAAGCCATGTGTCAAAAATATGAAGAGTCAAAAGTGTTAAACTGATAACCACATTTACAAATATGACAGATTTTAATATATGAAAAATGATTATATAATCACACACATATCAATGGAAAAACAGGCAAAGGATATGAACAAACAGTTCATTAAGAAAATAGCCAATAAATACATAGTTTGACAAGCCCGCTGATAATTTTTAAAATGTGAATTAAAAAATGTAAGATACCACTTTTGCCTCCCCGACCATCAAAGATTAAAATCAGCATTACCGGCTCTGGCTAACTCAGGGTGTGGGGGACGATACGCTGATGGGGTTGAATCTGTACAAACCACCTGGAAGGCACTTTGGTGATGGAGCAGATGTAATCTGGTAATAGGTAACTTTGATCAAGTGGTAATGGGTCAAAAGGTTTAAAAACATGCATTTCTTTCATTGAAATATTATTTAGGAATGCATTCTAATACAATGATCAGTTGAGGTACAAAAAATGTAAATATGGGACTATTCAACGTAGTGTTGTTTCAATGGGGGATCATTTCTGTAAGTTACAGAGTATCTTTATGACAGAATACTACACAGATACTAAAAAATATGGAGGCGTATATATGTTGACAATTCAAGAAATACTGCTCTGTGGGGAAGCATCATTAAAGACCTTGTATTTGTCAAAACACGTGCATCGGGACATGCGTGTATGGAGAACGTCTGGAAGGACTGACCACGGAACAAAGTGGCAGTTAGCCGTGGTGAGAGGATTGTAAGTAGTGGGTCCCGCTCCTCTGGCTTCTCTGTATTTTCTATTGCAAGAAAACAATTCTGTGAAACAATTGTAAGGGATGTTAAGTTATAAATGATAACTACAGTGAAGCAGGAAAGAAGATCAGCTACAAACCACAAGTACACAACGGTGCTCGATAAAAAGCCAGCCAACAGAAAATACAGTAAATGCTGTGTAAGAATTGATGGGGTGATGGCTGATGCAAACATCTTTTTCTTTTGCAAATTTCCAATGATGTACTTTTTGTAATTAAAATAAAAGTGGGAAACCTTCCCGAAGAAGTGGTCAGTCCTGCTAGAATGAGCCTATGACAGAGATTATGTAAAACCCGCCCACTCCAAGAGGCTGTAACCTGAGGGCTCAACTCCTACTCTCCTCCCCAACAGCAAGAAAGAAAATAGGGGCAGCCGTGTGCACACCGTACCTTTGCCAGCAGCGTTTTCCCACAGCCGGGGGGGCCAGCCAGGAGGACCCCAGCAGGAGTCACCAAACCAAGAGCTCTGAACTGATCAGGGTTACGCACCGGTGCCTGTAAACAACAAGGCCCACGTCAGTCGTTACAAATGTCCACTCTGTACTGCGTGTCCAAATGATCTCGATGCACGCTGCCAACAGGCGACAAATACGTGAATCCCTGCTCTTGAGGAAATCACTTAAACATAAGTCCTGAAAACATTTTAAACATAAGGATACAATACTTCAGCATCTTAAAATCATGGTTTTTTTTTTAAGCTACCTAAATTCCCAGGTTATAAAGCTTTCATGCAGGGCCGTGCCATGAGGCTCAGAAGCGGGAGTGCCCTGCGTGGTCAGGGGACACAGACACATGCCGTACCCCTGCTCTTCGCTTTCAGCAGCCCCACACCTCAAAGCAGAGCATCCTTCATTAATGAGCCACAGAATGCTCAGGAAAGTAGAAAAGTACACGTGATGAAAATTAATCCAAAGTTTCATGGGCACTAAACCGCTTTGACCTGTAGAGGGTGAGCGAGTTGAGAAAATATTTCTCAGTCGGCTCTTGGTTGAAACCTACATTTTTTTTTCGTCTACTACCAAGAATTCAAGCACAACCATGAGAATAAGTCTAAAACAGATGTCAGAAGAATGAGAAACCACTGCTGGATGCTTAATTAGAATCTAACAGGACCCACGGAAGAAAGCTACAGCCAGCCCGTTTAGACACGCTGCCTTGTGCACACGCCGGGCGCCCAGCGGCAGACACACCTACCAGTATGGCCATGGTGAGCTCCTCCCGGATATCTTCCAGGGCGCCGATATCTGCCCAGGTCACGTTGGGGACGGTGACAAAGCCTTCCCTTTTGGCAGAGGGTTGGACGGAGGCCAGGGCTGCAGTGAAATCACCCCATTCGATGCACAGCCCCTGCAGCTGCTCCTCGGACAGGGGCTCGTGGCTCCTCAGCAGCTCCAGCAGCCGCTGTAACTCCTCCTGACCGGGAGCGATTGAGGGGGAAGATGAAGAAACGTGAAGTCTGTTGACAAGGTTATTTCGTACCTTTAAAAATTGTTACTGCAGTATTTCTTTCAGCTATAACAAGCCGAAAGGGGCAGGTCCCCTGACTGGAATGGAACGCAGGAGGATGGCCAGGGGCCACCAGCAGCTGATTGTGTTTGTGTCCACAACCACCAATTCCCACATTTCATTTATAAGGAATCTAACAGCAGCTCAACTCTGATGGAATTAAACGGAAGTTACGCCGGTAGGAGCATCATTCACAGCACGGCTCCCCAGGGGCTTGTCCCCCACACAGAGAGCAGGCCAGCGTCCTAGGACTACACTGAACCTTGAGCTTCAAAGGCAGATTTCTTGCTTTGTAAAGAATTTTATGAAAGGACCTATGAACAGTAACTGAGTAATTCAATTCATAAAAATCCCAACTTACATACAACATTATGCAAGGACTATGCTTATTGTGAATTTTAACAGATACAGTTGAGGTTCCAAATGAGTAAGGAGGTAAAAGACATCTGAAACCACAGACCAAGATGCCCACTCTGGAGAGCAGAGGCCGCGGGGCTCGGGCAGGCCACGGTCTCTTACGCTTAGCCCCTCTGATCACGAAGCCCCGTGAAGCCCCCGAGAAAACCATCAAGTGCTACACAAACATTGTGCTGAGCTTCACGACTCACACAGCTCATGGATGCCGCGCGGACCGTGCCAGTGCCCGTGACCAGACGGTAACCAGGAAACAGGACCAAGTGCCCAGTGCTCTCACAGCAGTGGGTGAACTCTCTCTGGCCAGGCCTGCAGGGTAAACGCTGCAAACTCAGTAAACACCTCCCATGTGAACTGAGAAGCATGACAGCAGGGAGACGATGTGCAAACACGGCTGTGTCCCCCCGTAACTTCCATGTCCATTAACAGGCAGTGGGCGAGCAGCCCACGGCTCGCCAACCCCTGCCTCCACAATTTCATAATCCATGCTGTAAAAGGAACTTACTCAGGATCAGCTGAAAAAGTAAAACAACTTGTACTTGGGAAACCACAGCCATTCTGGGTGTGACTGATCATCACACCGATAAAACCGAAAACCATACACCTCAACTCCACCGACACCTGCTGCGTGGCCGACGTCAGGACTGTGAAGGTACCTGCACAGGAAGCGCCGGTGTCCCAGCAGCGGGCTCGGCGCCCATCTGGTCTTCCAGGCCTCGTCCGGATGGCAAACCCGCAGTCACAGGATCCGGGGGCAGCATCGTCAGGACCCTGCTGACCGTACCCATGGCTGCCTCTCGGCACAGCGCCATCAGGTCCGCACCAACGAAGCCTGGCGTCAGGCGTGCTAAGTGACGGAAAGGGAAACTTTCCGGAAGTCTAAGTTTTCTGCACAAAGTTCGAAGTATTCTGTAGGAAAGACAAGGGCAAAAAAATTCAGATTACTGACCTACCCGTCAAAACAAGTTACTGTTTATTTGAGGTAAATTCCGCTTTGAGAGTAGATTAAATGGACATCTGTCAGAAATAAAAGCCACCAGACTCAAGTAAACCATCAGTTCTATCCTCCAAAGAAAGCTAGGATGATACACATCTTAACATCCCGTTTCACATTAGCACAGATACTTCTCCGACTTCACCATACTGCACGTGTGAGAAAGCTCGCTCACCTGAAGCGGCACCAGGTAGGGCCAGGGAAACGTGGGCCTCCAGGTAATGACCATCAAAGGAGGACCTCAGACAGTTTGCAGTAAGAGCTTGTGAAGAAACCCACAAGCCGTACAATCAGCACGGGAGCTCGGAAGCTGGCTTGGCCGCTCGCCAGCCTGGGCCCGTCACTGCCCTGCGCACTTGGGTTCTGTCGCTTGTTAGCTATGAATTATAGTACTGCTCACCCGCAGGGGTGTCAGCCTGAGCCCAGCTAAACCCCCAGAACAGTGGCTGAGCTCCGGTGAGCGCCCAAGTGTCAGTTACTATGATTCACATACTGTGATGTTACCAACGAAGTTGGACAGGGAAATAGTCTGGAATTTCCAAAGTTGTAGGGCAGAGGAGTATTTTCAAATGTCAAGCCGATGGAGAATAAGTCCCAGAAAAGTCACCTGAGATCATGTAAATGAACAGAAAAGCAGCAGATAAACATTACTGACCAATGAAAAATCACTCACTCAGGCACTCTACATAACAGAGAGCAAAAAAAGGTTCCAGCGTAAAACCATTTTCACATGAAAACTAAGATATTCAGAATGTTAGGAGAAAACATAAATAAGTATCCTTTTCTGTTACAACTTCTATTTCTGAAAATATGTGGATATTTCCGGTCACCCTGGAAACTCCAAAGGAGGAGAAATTACCCAGGAAGAGATTTCCAGTTTCAAGATGGCAAAGTGACTGTTGCAGAAACACTTCCTCTGCCTAGAAAAATAACAAGAATCGGAAGCACGAAATCCATAGTCCATGGAACCAGGAGGCGTCTGGACTTTTACCACCCCGAACCCAGGCCATTCTAGAAGGGAGCCACAGGAACGGGCAATAAGAGCATCAGTCTTTATTTGTATGAGGTCCTTCAAAAGCCGTCACCACTGGTCTTCAGCTCCAGGGCAGCTCCATGTAGAGAGGTATTTATGCTGCTAGGACACTGAGGGGATGGGCGTTCAGAGGGTTCTGATGCTTACTTACATGTCTTACTACCTAAGAAAAGAAAGGCCCCCCAACACAGGTCTCTCTGTGTCAGCTCTAGCTGATGCCATAAAAATCCCCTAGAAAATATTCAAATAGTAGGGGTTCCCAGAATAAACGATCCAGGTTTAATGCTGTATTTGACTATAAACAGGATGAATTTTAACTCATCTTTAAAAAAATACACCTTTTATTTTGGAAGTTTTAGATTTACAGAATTATTGCAGACAGTACAGAGTTCCATATACCCCACACCCATCTCCTACTACTATGGGCAATTCTGAGGATTACTGGCCCAGAATTTTGTAGAGGACCCCTCAATGGGATTAGGCTGATAGTTTTATGGTGATTAGACTAAGTTCACGTGTTTTCGGGAAGAAGAGCGCAGAGGCGGAGCACTCTTCGCACCCCTCACCACAGGGACGTGAACCCTGACCAGCAGGCTGGACACCGTGTTTGGCAAGGTCTCTGCTGTGAGGTTGGTCCTTCCTGCTTCCACACTGTACTCTTTGGAAATAAGTCACTATGCCCAGCTCGCATTCAAGGAGTAGGGAGTTAGACTCCACTCCTTCAGGGAGGTGCATCCACATAAATCATCCAGAATTCTTCTGCACCAGAAAATTGCCTCTTATTTCTTTATTCAGTCATTTATTTACATCAGCACAGGCCAAGCGATGCTTGACTGCCCATACTCTTAAACCACCATTTATGAAGAAACGAAGTGGATGATAAATGACCTAGGAGCGGAGACAAAGTCAGATTAACCTTCCTCTGAGAGGTGCACTAATGAGGAGAGAGGAGATATGTCTGGTGAACCCCAAAGAGCGGGGAATGAAGGGGGGCATCCAAGTGCTGGGCGGCAGAAACGAGGGCCACAGCGGAGCCCCAAAACCAGCAAGTTCTGGACAGCCTGCGTGAGAAGCACTAAGACCCCACATCCTCTGCACGCCCTCAGTCAGCAGGATCCCTGGAGTGCGCTGCCCGCCAAGCCTGAAGCAGGAGAGGGGAGATCCGGGTGCGCGGACGATCGCAAGCCCCTCCACCAGGAAACCGGGGTGTGCGATCCTGCACTCCTTCCCTGCCCATGTCAGGAGTCCAGCAGCTACAGCAGCTAGACCTGCGGCCCGCGGTGCTGTCTGCTTCTGAAAAACCTGAAGTGACTCAACAAAAAGCATCTATGAAATGGACACATGGAGTTTTCTAGCTAAAATGTTAGCTGGTCATCTGAATGCTTTATAGTGACACTCAGGCTTCAACAAAACCGCTCCCACCGCGGGTCTCCCATCAGCCTCACTTCGAACGGTCGGCCACGGTGGGCCACTCGAGGAACGCACCCACAGGAAATGACACTGCTCCATCCATCGTCAGGACTCCCAGCACAGCAGGCACTGTTGCTCAGACTGTGCCCGTGATGTTCCTCACCGCCTCTCCCTGCGACACAAGGCACAGGACAGACCAGAACACGAACGCATGTAGATGCGGAGGAAACAGAGAATGTAAAGAAGTTGCAAGAGGGTTAACAAATGAAAACAATACGGCAATTATGAATTCCAGAACAGTTAAAATGGTGAAGAAAGGTCATATGATCTGATACAGGACTTGGGTCAGCAGGGAACAATATTTATACAGAGGAGAAATGAAAATGCTAAATACGGTTATACTCCAAATTCACAATACGATTATACAGTACAAACCTGTGGCTATGGATTGGATATCAGATACATTACAGAACTATTTGTGAGGTATATAACGGCACTGCACGGATGTTATATAAAAAGTCTTTCATTAGACACTGGAGCATGTATAGTTAGAATGACACAGTGCCTGGACTTTGCTTTTAAAACGCTCCAGGAAAAAAAAAAGTGTGGGATAGACGGAACAAGATTGAAATGGTGGTAACTGTTTGAAACTGGGTGACGAGACATGGGGTTCACCGCTGTGAGGGTTTTAAAGCACGTCTGTACGTTCCTGAGCGTCCTCTCACTGGGAGGTGGGGTCTCCAGCCCCTCTTCGAGTCTGGGCCAACCTCTGTGGCCGGTCAACAGCACAGGACAGTGGGAACAGAGGCTGCCGGACTGCCCAGCATGAACCATACGGCCCTGAGGCCCCCCGGCTCTGGGAAGCCCACAGAGTCCCGGGAAGGGTGCCACACAGACAGCAGAGCCAGACTGGATAGGCAGGTGCATAGATAAGCCCAGCCCAGTGGCTCAGAGCTCCAGCTACCATCTCTGCAACCACACAACACCCTGAGACGAACCCAAATTCTTTACCCACGGGACTGGTGAGAGACAATGAAATGTTGTTGAAAGCCACTAAATTTTTCAGTGGTTTTTTTCTGCAGCAACAGAAACTGGAACAATTATACCAGACTGCTTCGTATACACTGGACTTTTCCATAACGAAATGCTTTTAAAGTCCAAGAAGACATCAATAGCTACCATAGAATTCCTATGTGTCGGAGGCTGTGCGAGGTATGTTAACGCAGTCCTCACAAGAAGGCTTTCCGAAGTTCCGGTACCGTTACGTCTTACAGATAAAATGAGGCACTGTTATCATTATTCCTTTATTACAGGTAAACAAACGAAAGCTAGAAAATGTCAGCTATCCAGGAAAAGGCACAGGGACATGTGACCAAGCTGGCTCTACCTCTGAGACCACGTGTCCGAGCACCCTGAGCTCGGTCCACCATCTCCCGCGAACCTGCTCTGGACCTCAACAGATACCTGAGCTTGCCCCTCCTCAGCAGGTGCTCCTCTTTGTACAACTCAGACCCCAGGGCCTCTATTTTCTTTCTTAAATTCTAAATCTTGGTTCCCTCCTTGCCTGAACCTAGACTGTTGAGCATTACTCTGGGAAAGAAACCCCAAGACCAGGCCTACTGGTGCCATTCTACACCCCAATCCTAAACACTGCCTGAAAATCCCATTACCCTAGCCGGCTCATCTCAAATCATCCAAGAACATCGTTTCAGACCTTCATCCTCCTTCAGCCTCTATTGGTCACGTACCTGACTTTCATCAGACGGATCTCATGGCTTGATTCATGGAGAAAATGCCGTTTTCCAAGTACCCCAGCGACTAGCCCCCTGGCCTGCACCCCCTTCCCTCTGCTGCTGCTCCAACAGAAGCGCCCCAGCCAGCACCCCCGGGTTCCCATTCCCCATTCCTCCCACTCACTCCTTCCCACAGCATTCCAAGGCATTCTGGTTTCTCCTATCCTAGCCCCCCGGACACCCCAATATTCCCCTCGCACGGCCACTACCTCCCTCTCCCCCTTTGTGGCCAAAACTCCCTTCGGGGAATCGTGGAAGTCCGCTCGGTTACTCCTTCTCTTTCCACTCACTCAACCACTCGACCCACCGGGATGCTGCCCGATCAGCCCACTCACAGGGCTTTTGGCTCAGGCCACTGGGACCACTAGGTGGCTCATGGCTCGATTCCAGCAACGGTGCTCCCGCTCCCGCTCCCGCCCCCGCCCCCGCCCCCACCCTGCCCTCCTGCGGGGAGCACTGGCTCCCATTACAAAAACTCTCCTTTCCCCAGCACTCTGGCGGCTCCCTCTGTCCCCTCAGCCTGCCCCAGGACCTCTGACCTCTGGTCCTCGCACTCCAGCCAATCCACTCTACTCTCAGAACTTCAGCTGCCTTCAATATGCTGATGATTCTCCAATTTTTACTTCCTCAGAACTCCAGACTCATCCAATTGCCAAGCTAACATCTCTACTTGGACAGCCTGTAGGCACGTCTAGCTCAGCTGCCCCAATCTGCTTTATCCTCCCTAAATCCTCTTCTAACACATGCTTATCTCCAGGATTTCAATCCCCTCCGAGAAAACCAGGAGCAAAGATGCTTAAATCAGAAACCTGGGAATATTTCCTCCCGTTCAATCACAGCCCCCACCTTCCACTCACTCCTTCTGCCAAGAAATGCACCTGGACTGGCTCT